TGCGTCAGGCGCAGTGCCATGGGCGCGATCGGCGAAACAACATGGCCGGAAACAAACATGAGGCATGTACGTTGGCCATCGTCCTTTAAGGTGTTTATTGCATTCTCGTTCTGACATCAGACTGAACAGGGAGCAGAGGCACCTTTGCCAGCATGGCTCCTTGGGGGAATATAGACTCGCTGCTGCAGGCTGTGCCAACGATGCAGCAGCCAGCAGAGGCCGCACAAAAGCTTGTGTGGCCACGCAACATTCACCGGTTGCATATTGATATATGAGAGCCGGCCCCGGTTTCTCTTGCATTGAGACAAAGAGAGCGAGAGGGAGAGAGCGCGAGAGACAGGAAGGAAGCAAGGAAGAAAGGAAGGAACGAAGGAACAGGAATGAATCAATTAATGAAGGAAGGAAGGAAGGGGGAGGGAGGGAGGGAGGGAGGGAGGGAGGGAGGGAGGGGGAGGAAGGGAGGGAGGGTGGGAGGGAGGGAGGGAGGGAGCAGGAAAGCAAGAAAGCAAGCAAGCAAGAAAGCAAGAAAGCAAGAAAGCAAGAAAGCAAGCAAGCAAGCAAGCACGAAAGAAATGAAAGAAAGAAAGAAGGAACAAACACACGCAATAAATGCAGATAGAGAGGGAGGGAGGAAAGGAAGAAAGAAACAAAGACAGACAGAGGGGAAGAGCACGAATTGGGCAAGATGTTAGGTATCATTTGGGAAGATGTATGACTAACCCAGCAGGAGGCAGATTCTGCTCCTACCCCTGCACTTGGCAGTGCTGCTTGTTTGTTTGGCGCGCTGCAGTAAGTAAATCATGCGAAGCAGGATCCACGCTTTTTGTAGCAAAGGGCCATCGGCGCCGTGCGTGGTCGCAACCAAAGATCAGAACGTAGGCTTTGCAACATACACGGACTCTACACCTCAATCCTAGATCTGTCGCACAGGAGACAGAACACCCACCAGCACCCATTCACGCGCACATCCACGCTCTGGTGACGGCTGGCCAGTATTTCCTTACGCGTGCAGTTTTCGCAGCGAGCTTCCCCCGATTTAGACTGCAACACGGAGCTTTCAGGCTGGAAGGGTGCCCAGCACTTGCCAGCGTCTCAAGCTAGACGTTGCCTTGGGAGCAGCGCACGTGCAGAAACTTTCCTCAGCATGCAACAAGCAGCTGTCGTAAGCAGCTGTCGCAAGCAGCTGTTGCAAGCAGCACGCAATTCGAAAAGCGACAAGCGATGGCAAAAAACAGCTTCAAGGATTTGCCACTACACAGCTCCAGTACACCAGGAACGCCCAACGCGCCGGCAGACAATTCCAGACAGGGGGAATTTGTCAGCATGCAATTTGGGCATTGGAGTTTGATCGCTGGAAAAGGCACCCTCCATGACACCGTCCTGGCATTTTGAGCAGCAAATGCCCATGGAGCAGCGCTGACCTCAGCAGGTAAGAGATCAGGTGTAAGCTTTCAGTTTGTTTCTACTTGTGCCAGAACCATCGCCCTTGTGGCAACTGCGCAATTGCCACTGGGGTGCTTGATCTGAGCGCTTTTGTGGCTGAGGCAAGGCGACAGCGGAGCCGGCTTTGCCAGTGGGTGCGGGTCCCAGCGCCAGTGCAAAGCAAATCATTTGGAAGCCTGGTCGGAAATGTGGCAGGGAATGAGTGTCTTGCCAGCTGGCTCCCAGGCGAGCGTTTACTGCAGGGCGGAATGTTTTGGAACAGTGCCTACCTCAGTAGCAATCCGTTTGTCGATTGGCTTCGTTGTAACATTTTGTGTCACTGAGATTGGGAGATGGTGGTGGTGGTGGCAGTGGAGCTGGCTTTGCTAGAGATGGTGGCGGAGCCGGCTTTGCCAGAGATAGTGGCGGAGCTGGCTTTGCCAGAGATAGTGGCGGAGCTGGCTTTGCCAGAGATGGTGGCGGAGCCAGCTTTGCCAGAGACGGTGGCGGAGCCAGCTTTGCCCGAGATGGTGGTGGAGCTGGCTTCTCCAATGGGCTTAGATCTCAGCGACACCTCATGGTACATTTTCCATCTTGTGCATTGGAGCTTTGACCCACGGTAAGTCTGACAGAAGTGGCCAACTGACTCTGTGCCCAGCCCGCCCTGTCTGCCATCCACGATCTTTCCATGCTTTTTTGGAGGGTTGTCCATGGGCTGTGACCTTTTCTGATTTGAGGCGACTTGTTCAAATTCTCATCCATCATGAGGCACCTCTTTAGTCTTTTAGGTGGTTTAGGGTTTAGGCTTCATTTCCCTTTGTCAAGGGACTAGCACCGACTTTGCCGTATGGATTTGGCATGCCCGAGGCCCAGCTCCATGGCCGCTCGTGAGCCGCGCCGGGAGGAGCGAGGCAAGGGAGCCCCAACGAGGCGTTTTCTCCACTCGTGTTGCTTGCCCTCGCAAGCGAGACTTCCACTTATGAAGTTTTTGGGCACCGCACAATTCCAAAGAGGCACATAGGGCCTGGATGTACCATTCTGGAGTGGATGTTTCAGCATTACCGTATCGGCAATGATATACCTACGACCCACCAGATGTGCAGAAAGTGCTGAAGGGGTGATGATTTGCCAGAATACGGCTGAAACCGCGATAGATCATGGGAGTCTTGTTGGATGGTACCGCATGTCATGTGGTGTTGTGCCATTTCATATCACATCATGCAATGCGGTGGCAGTGCACTGTTTGCTTTGCATGGGAGAGTATCCGTTTTGTAAGGACATTTGAGAGAATCTTCAAGCATGAATCTTCAGTCTAGGATGTGCTAGCAAGTGCTAGCATTCACAATCCTCATGGCTAGGATGGAGGCTTGAAGGTTTCAAGAAACTACCTGGAATCTTTAGTCTTAATTGTTCAATCCCATGATGTATTGATACGATACTATTCCCCCCCCCATGTCGACATACATTTGGCAGACGCAATGTATTGTAGATTTGGGAGATGTATTGTTACATGCGGATTTCGGTATGTGTTCAAAGTCCAAAACAGGGTATATATATATATATATATGGGCACATATATGTACATATATTTCTGCCCATATATATATATATATATATACACATAAACATGATCTCATATGCATGCGCACGCGCATAAATGTACTGCACACCGCCGCATGGGCAGCTTCGGAGACGGGCTTTCAATGCAGTCTGAAAAGCCGCGGTCATTTGCAGGTCCGGAGGCTAGGGGCCCAAGTGCTGCTGATCGAGATAGAGATAGAGACAGAGATAGAGATAGAGGCGGGGTGTGAGTCTGTTGTATCTGCGGGCAAGGTTGATTTTTCCGTTTTCCCCGTTCATGCAGTTTGATTTGCACGCGCGGTGGTCTTTGGAGGCTCTACTCCCCTGTTTGGTGGCTGCATGAGCGCCGCGAAGGCTGGGTTCTTGGTTTCTGTTCTCGAGGTGCTAGCATTTGCGCCAGGCTGGCCGCGCAGCCAACGCTCATGGGCCAACGGGAGTCTACAGCACAGGCAGATGAGCGGCTGCTGACAAGATGTGAGATTGCCAGCTTCGGCAGGCCTTGGACATCCTTTCAGCCATGGCAGCGGAATGCATTCAGGGCATTCAGGTCATGCAGGGCACTCAGGCAGGGGATTTGATGCTCATGCTTGTTCCTTGTTGCCGCTTGTTGCTCGTTGCCGCCCGATTGCTGTCGCTTGCTGTCGCCTGTTGCCGCTTGTGCCATTTTGCGGTTTCGCCAGGCAACAGCAGTGGTTGCAGCGGTGGCGCTGGTCTGTGCCTGGCACCTGGAGCAGGCGCCACGTTCCACGGACTGAGGGACCGAGGGACCCAGGGCGTCCCTCGCCAGGAGTGGGCACTTTGGGGGGAGGCTCTGGATGCAGCGGAGGCAGGGCGGTTCAGCTTCGGGAGGATACACGATGGCGGCATGACTTGAACCCTAAATCATCCTGCCACATAAGGCGCTCCGCCCATGAACTTGATCTGCAAGAATGCCTGGGTAGTAAGGTTGCGTCTTGACGGGTTCGGGCCTTTGGGATGACTCTGCAGGACCATTCTAATGTGGGGGGGGGGGGGTCCCGTTTGGTGGAGAATTGATTCATTTCAGGGACATCCCAGGATTGGCAGGTTCATCCAGACGATTCCGGAGTTGACATCAGCTGCCAAAGGGCAGAATTTGCTCCCGCTGCTTTCAACCTTGGAGCTACTCCTTCACTCGAACTCACCTTTTTGTTCGTGCCTCCTCCGATGGAGGTGTTGGAGGCTTGCATTTTCTAGTTTCAGGCTTGCAAAAGGCTCAGCTGGGCAGGCTCAGCAGCGCGTGAGAAGCACGTCTCGGCGGGCACTGGTGGCTCAGAGGAGACTTGAAGGGCATGCAAGCCCTTGTGGACATCGGGTTTAGCTAGGCGTTTTCTTGTTGTGCGAAGGGAACACAGACGCGACCCAATACACCAACCAAGACTTTGGTTGGAAGGTGCATCCCGTATTCTTCCCAACACCGACAAACAAGGTTCAGGTTGGGGATACTCAACCATGACCATCCCTGCAGAATTATCATATTTTCTGTTGGTGAATTGGGAGCGGGCCCATCAGCGCGTGACATGCCTTTGGGGCGAGTAATGCTCTGGAGCGCTGCAGGAGTGGCCTTTCACCGGGAGGAATGTCCGAGCGCTGCGGGAGGAGGAGGAAGAGAAGGCCTTACTTGCCATCGCGGAAACGGGGGGCTGCCAAAAATGGAGAGCCTGAGGGACCCGGATGCAGGTTTTGCCTTCAGTCAATGGTCACTCTTGGCAAAACAGCGGCACCCTCAAAAAACACAGACCAGGGATCGGGATCCGCGCCAGGTGTGGGCGCAGGGCGCCCTTCCTGTGAAGAAGAAGACGGGCCGCAACCAAGTTCCTTTAGGCGGACACGTATGCCTTCAGAACGATCTCGGGAAGCTGTCACAAGCTATGACCAGGCAGTGTGGCTCCAGTGCAGCAGCAATGGCGCGCACCAGATCCGGACCCCTGGCAGGCAGGGGAAATCGGCTGGATGCGAAAGCTGGGTGTGAGCAACAGCAGGGGGCCGCTATACCTAGAAGCTTCTGGCGTCCCTTCCGGTTCCACAACCAGTCTGCCTTTTCCGTGCGGCTCTTGAGGTCAACAACAACCCTGGCCTGCGAGAAGCCTGGCGTGGGGAAGGTCCAGACGTGGGGCAGCCAAGCAGAGCGGGGAACGGCTTGGATGGTGAATGGGGCACACGTCTAGGCAGTTCCCCCATTTCTTTCTTTGCATTATTTACTTGAAATCCTCGAAATTCATCACTTTTTCAAGAGCCCTTGGGAACCAGCAGTTCAACCACATTCCGACTCTTTTGGCTATTCCACTGACGGAGTCTAGGGGGCGGTCTTCGGTCTTCCAGAAGAAAGCACTGGGCCCGACCAGATCTTGCGCATCCGAGACTGTCAATCTCGGCACTAGGCCCTGGCTGGAGGTCTGGGTGGTGCTGCCGGCTCTGTTACCAGCTTTCTGCATATGTCCCATTGATGACCTTAGGGTGACCCGGGTGAAAAGAGGTGTTGAATTGAGGCGACCCCGGCTACAAAGGCTTGCGTAGGGATTCCTTTGGGGCAAACCCCTGGTCTTCATGGCGCGTCAGGTCTGCCATCGATCCACAGCGGCTTGATTTCTGGGCCTCAGGCCAGAGTGCAGTGCCTCTTGCCCCGGACTGCTTTTGCCACCCAGGGGCTGCCTGGTGGAAACGCCATGGGTACTGCACCCGGAGATCGACCAGGCAGGCAAAACTCAAAGTATCCAGCCTTCTCCGAAGCACATGTTTTATGCTTTTCTCCCAGAACATGTGTTTCGATACACGGAACATTTTGAGGTGCGTTTACCCCTTTCGGGGGTGGTTGCCATAATTCGATAAGCCAAACAACTGAGTGGTGACCGCAAGGGGCTCATCTATCGTGCCATATATCAAGCCTTTGACTCATGTGTAAGAGTCACAGTGACGCCATGTTTCATTGTAGCATCGCCTTCATGTTTGCTTTCTTTGCTTCGGGCATTGGCAGCCCCAAGTTTTATTTTCACCTAGTTTTGTTTGTGCATGCCCGCTGCCAGTTCGAGACGCGCGAGTGTCTTTGCACGATGTACGTGATGTACGGATGCATCAGCCGGACGGGCGCGTATGGAGCTTAGCCTGTGCTGCATCAATTGAGCCAAGCAGCTTGAAGACATAAGCACACGCAGACATAAAAACAAACAGGAAAACATAGCGCCACAACAGACACAAGCTTGAATGTGCCGATTGAACAGCTTGCATGAATTGTCCTGGGGTCTCCTGACGTTGCCTCATTGACACTCGACATACGCCGATTTTAATCCCCAACCGCCCATCAAAGCTTTTCCAAATTCCACACTCTGGTGCTTTAGTAATATGTTTCTTACAGCCTCTGGGAAGATTAACTGTAGCACTTGAGCAGTACCCAAAGGCTCATGTGCGAGTGCTTGGAGTGAACTTGGGAACCAGTTTGGAACTTACCTCAGACCTGGATGCTCACCAAACCATGTCATGTGAGGTTCGGCTAAAATATCCAATAGTCTATGATTCATTTGGGAGAGACATGGGGGATTCATTAGAGTTTTTGCAAAACGGTGACTCACTGTTCTTTTCTGGGAACCACGTATTTTGACCCCATGGCATTGAGGTCACGCTGAGCGGACTCCGGCGACCAGACCTCTCGGCGGTGTACCACGGGCAGTGAGCCGCCACGCTGCTTGGAGGCACCAGCTGCAACTAGCTATGATATCCGCATCTGAAAGGGAATGCACATCGCTTAAGTGGACGTCAACGGCCAGGGCAGTAACCTCCAGCAGTGCCCAGCATTGTGGCGCACTCAAGGTTGCGGGCGGCTGCGCTGAGTTCGAGCGTCGCATGGGCAAAATTCGCCCGGTTCCATTTCACCAAAGGGCCACTGGCATTGCTAAATGGCACCGAGTCAGAGGCGCAGACCAATTAATGTGTCCTTTGCCACACACCTGACTTTCATGCAGCCTTTTCTTCCCTTGCGGCTTTGCCTCATTTGTTGGCCCGATGTGACCATTCGTTGTATGCTACTGCCCCTGCCGTCTCACCCCACTTCTGCGAAGAGCGCAGAAGACGCCGTACTAATGGTCAGGACCTCAGGCAAGACAAAGCGTCCCTGAAGGCCCTCGAAAGCTGTCGTTACGTGGGGCTGCTTTTTTAGGTACCCTTTTCATTTACCTTGGCTTGAAGGAAAACCAAACACAAAGCCCCGCCATTTTACCACATACCGACGTAGAGTTTTGAGGGGATCCGCATGCATGCTCGACCTAATCGAGCTTGCCCCTGAGACTCTAATGCAAATTCATCCGCGCTGTTCAAACCATATGTATATTATATATATATATAATATACATAATTTTGCTGGCCCGGGGCTGGCTAAAACCCAAATCACTCTCTCATCCGAAAGAACCAGTGTCCATGGAGTACCGACTGAGGATCCCGGAGGCAATCCGGAGGAGATCTCCACGTCGCCGTGCCCAACACCCCGCCAGCCAGCACTGAGCCAAGTGCCTTTGCCCGCGTTCGCACGAAAGGAACTGGTTCCAATCAGAACCCAAAGGACATCATTTCAGTGTTAATGCCTGCATTGATCAATTGCCACTTTGCATGGGCAAAGGCATCGAAATCAGCACTCTCAGTAGGTAGGAGGCAATGCCTTTGTTTGCGTGAACTGTTTGTTTGGGAAGGCATCCTCATTGCATCAGAGCTCACTTTGAAGACTGGCAAACGAAGGCAGCTGGGTCTCATTTCCAATCCTGTCTCACAGCAAACGCCATCGAGCGAAGCTCGCGTGATGAGAAATCTGAGGCTTGAGCCAGATGCCTTTGGACTCATTTTTGCCCAAAGGTACAGGGGTGTAACAAGTTAGGACCTTGGGAGCGAGAAAGCAGTACCCTCGAATTTCAGTTGGTAGATGTTTCCTGGAGGAAATCTGAACGGATCGTAGGCAGCTCACCGTCCCGCAGCTTTTGAGCCTGTGAGCCTTCAAGCTGCCTTTGCGCGGGGCGCGCCCGCAGGTGGCTGGATGCTTGACTCGAATAGAACGGAAGGGTCCTGTGCCTGGCCAGTTGTCGTTTCTTGTTCGCTGATCTGACTTTGGCACGTGCAGACGTTGACCCTTCGCATGTTGCGTCGCCTGCCTGAAGGCCATGCCAAGCGGCTTCGATTACTCCAAGTTGCAAGCTTGGTGATCGGTTCGAATGGATCCAACGGCATGCCACTTGACAGGGGCCAGCCCAGCCTTTGGGGAGTTTTGTACTTTCTTCCTGATGCAGCAACCGTACAACTTTGTTTTGCCCGTTGGAATGCCTTCAATTTCATTCCCTGCACCTGCCTTCTGGCTTGCCTTGTGCTCAGCTTCCACGCACTTTTGGGCTGGGGGGCTGCGCATAGTGGGTGATTTCGCTTAGCGAACTATTTGGATCCCTCCAACGCAACGCAGGCCCATAGTGTGCCCTCAACCGAGGTGGAACAACATTGAGTTGTCAGACGATGAAGAGGACGTGCCACTCCCGGATGTATTTCTGCAGATGTCTTGCTCGTCGGGATGCTTTTGCGGCTGGTTTTGTCCTTGGCTCTAGCAGAAGCGAGCTATTGGTTGTGCTCAGGTGCATCCAAACATCGACAAGGCATCCTGGCAACTTCCTCAGCCTGATCCCGATAAGTCGTTTTCTGCAGACTTACGACTCTGAAGGGGAAGGTGGAAAGATTGTCGTGATTAAAAGCAAATCAGAGACTCCAGCCCCTGCTTTTTGCAGCGGCCCAGGTTCAGGTACAAGCACCAGAACCGGGTGGAGCAAGACGAGGACGATGAGAGAAAGCAGTTGCGGCTCCAGAAAGAGCTGCAAAAGCTGCAGAAGGACTGTAGCCAGCTGCTTTTCAGCTTGTTCAGCTCGGCTGGCCTTAGCTTTCAAAATCTACAAACAGGTGCTTTGGTAACAGCTAAACTCCAATGGGCCTGGAGCTAGCCAAGAGATGCTGCCTCATGGTTTCGGTGTGCATGACACATGAGACACCTGGGCATGTTCAGCACGAGTTTCATGCTTTGGCGCAGCTGGGGTTATGCATTGCTGTGACATCGCATGTTTTGCCATGAGAAAAGTGGCCGCCTCCCGAGCAAACCTGTGAATCACGCCGTCAGGTGTTTGCTGGTAGCAGTTTCCAAGTCCATGTGATATTAACGCTGCCAAAAGCCGTTAGGTGATGTTGCCAAGTTTCTCAGTGTTGCCCACCGTAGCCATATTTGCATGCCAACTTGGTTGATCGTGCGTCATCCTTGAATGCCTATACTTCGCGGCCTCTTGGGGCACAGAGCGCCGTCTAATATAGCCGTGTCTGCCATTTGAAGCCGCTCTTGCTTTGTTATAATTTTTCGACACCTCTTTCATTCGGGATGCTGCAGAGGTGCTAGGTGTAGCATATGGCGCTAGCCTCAGATTGAGTAGCTTGCCGGCTTGCCAGGCTTCACGTTCAAGCTCGTTGTTCAATGTGCACTTGCTCGTTGGGTATGTGCTGCTTTGTCAATTCACTCTTCCTCCTGGCAGAGGGCAGCTCTGCAGCGTGCTTTTAGAAGATGAAACCTTCACTTGGCCACTTGAAAGTTCCCCGGTGCGCTTGAACTGCAGTTGCCCGTGCTTTCCATTCCAAATTTTGTCCGTTGGGATACTCCTCGGGCTTCTTGCCTTTTTCCTTCTGAGCCTTCTTTTGAGGAGTACGAAGTCTTCGGTGAGAGCGGCAAGGAGCATCTGAAGGCAAAGAAGATCAAGGTCGAGATAGACAAGGCACGGATGTCTGAAAGCCAGTAGCCTCGCAGGGCTTCTTCGATCTGAGACTCAGGCAGTTTTATCAACAGCTGTGCTTGGTAGGTTCAACAGGAACTGGAGCACATGGAGAAGACCAAGCTCCTCGGCAAACTTTGGCACTTGGTATTTGCATCTGGCAGCGAGCGCTGCCAGGAGTGGCAGTGCCACCATGCAAAACATGCCAAGTTCTCATTTACGCAGCACGAACCGTTGTACAGATTGATCACTGCAGAAGTAGCGCGAAGTAACCTGTGAGCCTGACGTATAAACTGAGAACCCATAGGCAAACGTGTAGACCATGCGGCAAACGCACCTTCGTGCCACTCAACTTACGCTCGACTTCTGTATCGTGCCATTCACGAAGACTGGGCATGGAATTGTGCCAATTGAGGGATTCTGTGCTGGCAGCAGAAGTCAAAATCGGGGGGCGATACAGCGACAAAAAGTGTCACAGGAAGGTCCGTATACACAGCTCCTGCCGGGAGTAACGGTTCATGCTCTCCTGCACTTCATCCGAGAGATCCAGGAGCAGACGTGCAAGCAAGGATTGCTATTATGGCAGGGCACGAACAGTTAACTGCCTGTGTCAGTGAAGCAAAGCCACAACTAGAGCTGCTTTAGCCCCTTTGACAGCCAAGAGCACCACGCGGTGAACATGACATGTCACTTGTTGCTCCGTAGAGACCTACATCGTGCACGCCTGCCTGCACATTGACAAGATCCGTAAATGCTTGAGGCAGATTTTATGCAACATGCTCGCCTGGTGCATTGTGATTCTGATGGTCAGAGTTTTCCAGCCGAGGAAGTGGAACGCGGACACCATGTGCAAAACTGCCCTGGCTTTATTGTGCTGTCATGCAAAGACATGCTAAAGCTGCAAATAGCTGCTAAAGTGCACGTGGCATTCTTTCCGGAGCAAGAGGCAGGCAGATGGGGCCCAAGGTGGAGCAGAAAACTGTACTGTCTGAGAGCAAGGAGTCTCCTGCGTGTGGAGCTTGGCGTTTTCTGTCCGAGGTGCTGCGAGGTGCTGCGAGTTGAGAATTGGACATGTGTTGTCAGAATGGCCTGAGGCCGGAACCCAGGTTGCAAGGGGAAGCAGTGGCAGAAGGCTCTCACGGCGTGCTTGCCACTGTGGATGGACAAAATCCTGCATCAGTTGGGATGGATGAATCCGTATAAATACTGGGATAAACCACCTACCGACTGGTGCAGGATTTTGTCCACCCACAGTATCACCGACGTCACAGGGAAACCATACAGTGGCAGCTTTGCATGTGCCAGGCTACTGCGAATTCGTGGAAGAGCATGAGGCCACTTCGTACGCCTGGCCATTGCCTTGCTGCAAGAAAGACAAGGGCGCCTGCAAGTAGCTATTTGCTTTCTTCGCGAAAGTGAGCTCCGTCTTGGGCAAAGGTTGCTCTTTTGGTTCCCTTCTTGCCAGAGTTGCCAAGCCGTCAGACTTTCGGAATCTTTCAGGAATTGTTGGAGACCTACATCTCGTTGGGGGATGAGGACTTGGCTTTTTGCACGGGGAACAGGAAGCGACCATAGTGGAACGCATGGCACAGGAAAAGACTCGGAGGAAGGATATGAATTCAGCCCTGCATACATTCAGCGGCGAAGCTGAAAGGTCGCATTGGATGATGCTAGAAATGTTATATATGTATACATAGAATATATAATTTTCATGACGAGGGTACCCTCTTCACCTTGGTTTGAAGGGAAACCAAGAGGAACACTGAAGCCATGTTTTCGGTCCAAATCCATATTTTGACCCATACGCAAATACCACCCTGAGGACTTGGAGAAAGTGGGCAGCTTCCTGCGACAGCACGGGGGTTTGCTGCTCCAGGGCGCTCGGGCGCCCAGTGGCAATGGGATGTCTGAAGCGTATGATCTCCATGGTCTTCCTGTCCATGAATCGATTACATGAACAGCGACCACAGCCAAGGTAACACGAACACCCACGTCAAGATTCGCCCCATCTCATCCCAAGCTACATTTGTCAACATTACAATTTGTGCGCAAGTGAAGACGAAGGCTGGCTGCGGGGTTTGCTGCTAGCCTGCCGTCCCGGTCCTTTCCAAAGAAACGGTAGCCTTCTCAAAGAGACGTCGCCTGCGTCTGGTTGGGCGCACATTTTTAGACAAGACCTTTGTTGGTACAATGAACGCTTGCACGGCCCAACGGTGCACCGCTCGCTTGGATGTTCAACATGTCTGCTTGCAGGAAACGAAGCTGGAAGGGTCATGCTTGTTTGTTGATTCGCTGAATCAAGAGGGCTGTCCCCAGAAATCTTGAGGCACTTGCTAGTACCTCTGAAGTGGGTCTTGTGACGGCCTTGCTTGTTTGGAGAACACAAGGGATGCAATGGGTGCCTTGGCTTTGACATGCTGCGGTGTTTTGCCTTCATTCAATCTGCCCAGCTGAGGAGCACGCCGAGTCGGGTCCCCAATGTGATGAAAGGCATGAGCAGTAGTACGTGATCCCCACATAGCCCCAAGTCACCAGAGTTCCACTATCACTATGCCACTTGCAAAGCGCCGAGCCATGCCCGGAGTGGCTCTCATGGCCAATAGCGTGCCAGAGGTCATACCTCTTGCTGGACTGCCTCGAGAAGGAGATGAACGAGCTGCATGAGGTGCCGGGCCCGGTGGATGTGTCGCCGACCTGGGCGTGGCAGAAAGCGAGGCACATGACGGGCTGTTCTCAGGAGATGAAGCGCTCTGCGCGGCAGCTGCAAGCCCAGCCATGAATCAATTTCTGCATGAGCTCTTGCTGGGATGGGTGTTCGAACTGCACTGCATTTGGCTTATGGATATCCGCTGGGGTTCACTTTCAATCCTGTTATTAAATGAGAGCACATTCAAGGACTGCCGTGCCAGCAGAAAACCGGTGGCTAAGCTGCTGCTAGCCCAATCGACAACACTCTCTCTGACTCAACAATTGAAATCCTGGTTTAGGGTTTAGCAATGAAAGATTTGCTTCTTCGTTGGAGCAGCGATCCAAAACGCCAGCCCCCTCAAGGTGTCGACGGATTACGGTTCCTTCCTCGCTCACTTGCGACTGAGGTATCAGCTGCTCGTTCAGCTCCGGGAGTTCTCCCGGGCCTCTGGCCGGCCCGCACGCAAGGGTCCCAGCCCAGGGCAGTGGCAAACGGGGCAGAGTTGGGCCGTTAGCCTAAACGAGACGGGCTCAAACCTGGCGGCTTGAAGCCACTCCCAAGGTGACTCCGTGAATCCGATCTTCCAAAGTCTCATCGAGAAGCCCGGCTCAACCGATGCGCGCGTTATGATATGGTTTGCCACTGCATGCTGATAAGACCAAGGGCTGCACAAGACTTGATCCCTTGAAAAGCCAGTGTCGAGACATGCAAAGCTTTTTGAGGCATGAAGCGACGCGGGAATCCTTCGAGGACTCAGAAAAGAGCGAGAGAGAGAGAGAGACAGAGAGTGAGATCATATTTTTCGAAGCATGAAAAAGCAACTCACTGAACGCTATGACAGTTTGTGGTGCACCTGACTTTGCCACTGGCCACCGGCTCACGTGGCAGGAGACAGTCCAAACATTCATCCGCAGAGTTGAAAAACGCGCGGTGGAGAAGAAGAAGGCCGGGCTTGGTGTGGGGTGGGGTTGATTTTTTTTGCGCTGGGGGGTAACACACCTGATCTATCCCTAGCTCTGAGTTGGCGAGAGATTCTGGGCTCAATGCTTAGGAGATGGACGCGGAGTCGGCGAATCCGCCGGGGCCAGGTGGTTTGGATCCCTTGGAGGCGGGGGGCGGGGGGCCGTGTGGGATGGTGTGCTGGGCGTGAAGCCGAAGCGCTCTGTGGCAGGTTTTTGCAAGCCTCCCCGAAGAGATGCAGAGCCTTGGCAGCACTTACGTTGCCTTGTATCCCCCACATCTTCCAAGGCTTCCTGGCTTCAAGTATGCAACAGTGAGGACTTTAGCGGGTGCTTTTGGTTGTTCAACGCACACAACACACGAGCAGAGCCTGCTTTAGGTCTTTCGAAAGTCATGGCCTTTCTTTTGGCAGAGGGCCACTCAAAACGCGCGTTTGCACAAAGGCAACTCTGGACATTCTCGAAACTTTGCACGTTTCGATTCTATCCAGTTTCAACCTTGCCATCGCCTGAGGCACGCTTGTGCGTGGGTGAAGATACTGCACTCATTCCATACTGTCATCTAATGCATTAAAGCATTCTGAAGCCTTCAGTCTCCAACAACTGTGGGATGACGTTCGTGTTGAGAAAATCTGAGGACTGCCTTCAGGGCCAAGGACATCCAGAGACTGCAAGCAGCCGTGGTGCCTGCAAGGTTGAAGACTTGCCAGATAAAATTGGTTCACAGGTCTGCATTCTTAATCCTTATGCTGTACACTGTGGTGGGCCATGTGATATGGGCAAAACTTTCCAATGAGACTTACACATTGGGATAATGTATGGCTTTTCAGGGTTTTGTGTCGGAAAAGAAGCGGCCATGCCACCAGCGTCAATTGAATCACGTGGTTAGGTGTGGGGTGTTTTTGTGAGAGCCTTTTTGTAGCTCATGCACAGCTAACGTGGTATTGCCGCGCTGGAAGTTGCCCCCATAGAGCATGCAGTTCAATTCTCTATCGGCATGTTTCGTACGGGCAAGCCCAGAGTTTGTGCACCAGCAGAAAGATAAGCAATGGGAAGCGCGAATGCATGAGATTTGCAATCTCCCCCCCCGCCCCCCAATTTGGGAACCGCCATGTCAACAAACATCCAACATGACCAAATCCCGGGTCCAGGGCATGTCGAGCGCTTTTTCACTCGGCTACAAGTCAGGGCTGAACGTGAAGGGCGACGCAAGCAAGCCGATCAGAGAATCCCAAGCAGGGCTTGGCGCTCTTTCGGCCGGCCAGGTGGATGCCCTGCCTGAGGAGGAAGCTCGGTACCACCTCAAGAGATGTGAAGATAGTGGCTTGTGGGTGCCCAACGCCGAGGCGAGGTTCTGACTTTGAGGGGTGCAATGTGGGAACAGAGGGTCGCTCACGTGGACAGGTATTTTCCAACGCCGGACAATCATGTTGGCACGCTTGTAGCACGAGCTGGATGTTTGTTTTGCGCCAGGCGGGGCCGCCACCGTACAGAGCCTGAGCTGAGACCCGCACAGCTCTTGTGTAGTTAGGGTGGAGTTTTGGTGCCGAGTTCTGCTTTTTACGAAGCCTTTCACATGAATTTACGTTTTTTTTGAATGTTATCGAATCTCATCGAGGTTCCATTCTGTTTGCAAAGAGATCCCTTTCGGCACAAGGCAGACTCCACGCAAGCGGAGCTCTTTGGAAGGACCTCCCGTGGCCTCGGAGCAGTCCGACTCTGATAATGCACCGCTCTGCCAAGAAGGTGGAGCGAATTCGTGGAACCGCCAGAAAGATACCGCAATGTGGACAATCGTGATGTAAAAGGGCGCCCGGCACACAGTAGAGCCTGTGTCTCACAACTGTGCACGTGGTGCCTCTTGGTTGAACGTTTCCGCGCCGCGCACAGGCGTTTACCAGGCATGACCACTGTTGAATCTGTTGAGCACCGTCTGGGTCGCGTGAGCCACCGCCCGCACGAGAAGCGCCGGTCGTGAATGGTGGCACTTGGCAGCGGCTGTTGCCGGACGAGCCACCAGAACCGGTTTAGCCCACATTCATGGAAAGAACGGGCGATGTTTTCCTTCAAACACATGTGCCTTTTGCTTTCGTCCCTGCACTGCACACTTTGATACACTTGAGGACGCTGGGTGCCTGCGCAGGATCTCTAATCTCGGACGCGCCTTCGGCTGCGTTTAGGGGCCAGCGACGCATTTGCGCGAGAACTTGGAAAGGCAAGCAGGGCAGTACCCATCAGTTTGCATACGAGCCAGCTTTCGGCAACACCTGCACCATCAACCAAGCAAACTCTAGCAATTCAACGCCTTGAACAAGCACCTGTGACCATTGAGGGCACTTGCCGCGGTCCCGGCGAAAGCAGGTCATGCCACAGTCAGGTCGGTGGTGCAGCTTGCGGGTCACAGCGTTCTCCACGCAGCTGTTGACATCAAGCTTCAGACTCTAAGCCGCTTGTCCCATTTTTGTCCAACGCTCGCTGCGCAGCAAGCAGTAACAGCTCCCAAGCCTGGCATAGGGTGGTGAGGTGGAGGCCAGCACGTGCACCCCGCCTCCTACGTTTGCCTTCTTCTCGTCGGTTTCGGCAATCGGGCACCTTCCTCCATCATCCGGCCCCGTTTGACGAGTGGGTGACCCCCAAAGCTTCCAACAGCACTCCTTGCAACGAGCCCCGTTGCTAGAACCACGCTTGCCTGGCCAAAGCATGCGCACAGGCAAGCTGGAGCGATCTCACGCTCCTTGGAGGCGAGCGCGCTTGGATAGAAATGCTGCTTTCCAACGGGGCGACTGCCTCTCGTGTGGGCCACGTGCCAGCGCTGCGAGATGCAGATGACGACTTTTTCTCGGGGCCTTTCTGGGTGCATGGCAGCACGGACAATGGCTGCCGCACAGATACAACTGAGCAAACGGAAAGCTGGGGAAGACTTCCTACCCAGTACGAAGCGGCCATGAGGACACTTGAGTGCGCGGCCTCAGTTGGGCAGGCGTCCATGCGAAGGACGCTGCTGGAGGTGTATCTTTGGGCTGGCAATGTTGCGCACCTGCCACCCCAAAGCCGGAAGAGGGAAGCGCTGCAGCGAGGACTTTTTGACAGCTTCGCAGACCTGCGGTGCTCTTTCGTTTGCGGTTGCCAAATTTTTGCTCTGGAATACTCCTGCGGCTGCCGATCGGAATCCTGCAGCTCGCCCAGTGTGTCCTGGGTCTAGGCTGCTCTGCTGCCAGCGCCCGAGTTGCAGCCGACAACTCCACCGGAATCCCGGCTGGAAAAGGAACCAGGTTTCCACCATATTTCCTCTTGCGACCGCACCGCCCCGAGCAAGCAACCAGATTGGAGAGTCAGCGTACTTAGCAACCTCGTGCGTTCAGAGGCTGTGCAGCCCCGTAGCTTCGACACCCCATCTTGAAAACAAACCTCGCTCGCCCTCCAACTGTCCCAGCCTTCCTACGGCTCGCGCCTGTGGCAGTACCTTAACCAGCCTCGGCGGGCGTCGGCTTTTCCCCGCAATGTTGTGTCCCTTGTGCCAACACGAGGCCGGCCCTGTTTGTGCTGTTGGGGGGCGGCCCTCTTTTTTCGCACGGCGTTTCTCCTCGCTTTCCTAGCCAAATCCAGCTTGCTTGGACAGCCCCGGCTCAGGCAAAGCCGCGAACGGTCGCGGACTGCTGTAACAAGGCTGCTCCAACAAAGCTGCCTCGCTGAGCAGTCTGCGTCGGAAGCGAACACCTGCATTTCCACAACATCTTCGCTGCCTCAAGACAGCCGAGGCCCGGAGCACAGCTGTGCCAGCCATGCAAGGGCAACCGCAACAACACGCTCTCGCAGGGCGGCGTGTCAGGCAGCGGTTACAGCCCACAGCTCAGCGACAAGCCACAGCCCTCCGACCCCATGCCACCGACGGCGGCAGACCGGCAGCTCCAGCGGGGTTGATTTGCTCCAGACACTCCAGAGCCGTGGTCCCGCGCGTCACGCCCTGGTTTTGCTTTATCGGCTAACCCACAAGGAACGACCCATGCGTGCGCCGCCCTTTGCCACCACCCGGGCCACAAGAACGGCGATCAGGCTGCACCGGAGACGAACCGGGGCATCAAGCGCTTTGGCTCGCGCGAGGGCGCGCACAAAAGAGGCTGCCTCGTCACTCCACCGGCCCCCGACCTCAACGGCGAACACAGCGCTTGGCTCCGCTCCCAGCGCGGCAGCTCCGGGTAGGTCCTCTCCTTGCGGCGGCGCGCAAGCGCGAGGGCAGCGCCTTGCAGAAGTTTGGGTAGCAGACAGGCCAAGGCCTCCGAGTGACAGGGGCAATTGACAGGAAGGGCGCCCGCGCCGACCACGTCGATGACGTCGCAACTGGGTTGTGTTTGCGTGGCGGCGCCCAGCTAGCTGCCGACGCCCGACGTCCAACTCCGCCGCTGTGCCGGGCGGACGCAGGGCGCCGCCCTCGTTCAAACTCGGTTGTGGAAACAGCGTGTCTATCCCGTGAGCAGGCTGCATCCTTCATCCGCCTCTTTGTTCGGCCTCGCTCCCGGGAGGCCGCGCCTTCCCTGCGCCCAGCAGCGGTCGCAGCTCTGGTCGCTCGTTGGTCTGCCCTGCAATCCTTCGCGGCCCAACCTTCCTTTGCCGAGTCCTTGCTAAAGGGCGGGTCGGCGCTGGCCCAACTTCAGCAGGTCTTGCCCGGACGGAAAAAAATCAAACAGTTCCCTGGAAGCTGGCCAGGTTGAAGATCTCCGTTTTGAAGGCCGGGCCCACATGCAAAAACATCAAAACAAAAAGGACACGAAAAAACATCCTAAAGGATCGTCCCAGTTAAAACATTCGGTCAACATTGCTGGGGGCAGGTCCAGTATAAAAACGGTTCTGGGGACTGTCTCAGCCCAAAGTGGCCAGGACCGCCCCAGGGCAAATGAGTCAGCACGCGTGGGCCGGTCGCGTCCTTCCCGCCTCTTGCTGAACACGCGCGGTGGCTGCAGTGCAATCCTCGGCTGACCCCGCCTCACGTGTGAGCACCCCAGGCGGCCCGTTGGCGGTCGCCAACAGTTGGCCGTCCCCTGGAGGGGGCGGCGAAAAACGAGCGCACTGGGCACGCAAGCGTCTCCAGGAACATTGCACAGTGCCTGCAACATGGCTTGGCGGCTGATGTGATCAAAAGCGCCAACCCCGTCCACAGACAAGATGGTGGCATCAAGGCGGGCCTCCGTCGCAACCAGCAAAGCAACATTCGGCTTTTGAAGGGCCACCATCCGCCCCAGACAAAAAGCTGCCGCGACGCTTGGGCCAAAGTGGAGGCAACGCGGGCGAACAAAGCACTGGCGGTCTCGTCGTCCAAAACCAGCTTCTTTTTTGGCCCGCCGCAAGTTGCTAAGGGCAGTGGAAGCCGTGACGACACGGGGCGCAGGTTCAAATTCCAAAATCGCAGGATCGATGGGCTTGTAAGGTTGGTCGGGTCGGCGGGCGGGGTCCTGCAACTCCGCGAGGGTAGCTGGCGTAAGCGGAGCCAACGGGCCAGAAACTAGAGCGGAACTGGCGGCTGGGGGCGGAGCGTCGGCGGCGGCTGGGACGAGGAGTGCCACCCACCGGCCAGCTTGGAAATCCCAAGGACGGGAACGCCACTCAGGCTTGGTGAGCCTGTGTGTGCCAGGGCGCCCGCGGAGAAACAAACGGGGAAGCAACCCTCCATTGGGTTTTGGCAGCGCCGTAAGCCTTGCCTGCGCCATCGCCGGCGCTTCCCCGGGCAGCTTCGGCGCAGGCCACGAAGATGGCGACCTTCGCAAAAGCGGCGTCCAAAAAGGCCTGCTCCTCCAGCAGCTGCCGATAATGCTCGGCAGTGGCGCCGCTCAATCCGGCCGCCGCGCCGCGTCGCGCTGTACAGAGTGCCGAGCCTACATCCTGGGCCGACAAAGTCGTGAGAGCCCCCGCTGGAAAGCGAGGACTTCCGCAGGAATAGCACGCCGCGCTTCAAGCGGGCGCCGCTCAGGGCCTGTGAGCAGGCGCGGCGCGGGACGATGCGGTCGGGGTGTCGCTCGATGGCAAGTGCGCATACGACACTGTTTCCCGGGCGGCGTTCCTCAGTAAGTTGGTTGAGGTTGCGTCTGCTGTAATTTTTTTGGTGCGTAGCTTGTCCGCGCGCGCATCCACATACTTCCTTGCAGAACAATGCAGGGGCATGGCACAGGATCTGCCAGCGAAAAAACTGTGAGCGAGGAAATGCCCTGGCCCCTGCTCCGTCTGCGCTTGCGGTGCATGAGGGCCTGGCGCGAGATAGCTTTCCGCGGCGGACCAAGGCACTCGCCTGCTCGCGCCTCGCCAGGGGGCGTCACGCAGCTGTCTACCTTCGTTCCGTTTTCCGCGAGCGCGACGTTGCCCTGCTGCGCTTGCAGCCTGGCCCGCAAGCAGGTGCCTGACTTTCCGCCACTTCCCCTGAAGCTTCGCGGCTGCCAGCCCGGTAGCAGCAGTCATGTGGGGAAGCTGGCCTCCGCAAAACCAGCTTGCAAGGTCCTAGTGCCCGGGACTCCCCTCAAGCCCCCGTAGACAGCCTTGTTTCACCGCATGGGCAGACGCAAAAAGGTGCGCAGAAAA